CTGACCCCAGCCCAGCCCTCCCTTGCCCTGAATGCAGCAGCACAAGCAGTGGAGAATGAGGGTGGGGAACCAGTGAGTTAATCAAACCACACAAGGAACAGGCCAAATCTGGGCTCCAACACCCCGGAGTCAGTGCGGGGCAGATCGCCCGTGCCCACGGCACTGAACAGCATACAAAGAGCTGCTGAATACCAGCATTTCACTTAATAAACACCCTTTGGCTTTGCCTGCAGTAGACGGCAGATGTCTGAGGATCTTATTATGCTGGTTACTAAGTGCAGAGCTAGTTTGGTTAGAAACTTGTGTGAAGTGGTACATCAAACATTGGCACCAGCCCAGCGACGGCAGAACAAGAGTCCAGCTCCTGCCCGGTGCCTGCACTGGGCTGGGTCACTTAGAACCAGCAAAGAGCCATCTGCCTGATGGACATCACCTGTTTTTTTTCATGCCAAATATTTAACCTAAACAAAAGAAGAAAACACTGATTTAATGCCTGGCTGCCCCGTGGTAACAGTGCAGGAGCGGAGGAACCCGGCTGCTCTCAAAGGGGGATGTCAACACCGAGGCCGCAGCATGGGATGGAAAGGTGGGAGCTGGAGGGAAGCAGGGATGTCTCCTCCCTGCCCTGCACCCGTGGTGTGCGGTTGGCTCCGTGCCTCCCCACGTCAGGCAGGGCCAGTTAACACCTCCCGGCACCCCTCTCCCTCCTTCTCCACGTCCCCCTCTGTCTGGAGTTCATTCCACCAGCCATCATGATGGGTCCTCGCGTGCTGCTCATGGGGAATTGATTGAAACAGCCATGGTTTAATGACCTTTATGGGCTCTGGCACTTCGCCTCTTCTGAGGCTAAAAGCCCTTCTTGGATAGGATATTTTTCGTAACTGATCTGTGCTCTCCCAGAATCAGCCTCTGCTAAACCCCAGCTCCAAATGTGTATTCAGAGTGTGGCACCGTGTGTGCCGGCTGCTCAGCTCCCTGCACCAGCCACCGCAGCCCTGCTGCTGCCTCTTCCCCTCCCCCAGCTTACCAGGAAAGGGGATTTTACCAATATACTTGTGCCACAAATGTGGGATCTGGATCTGGCTTTCCCACAAAGGTGATTTCTTCCTGAATCACTTCAGTTGTAGATGAACCCTATTCAGAGCCAAAGCGAAAACAAAACTCAACTGGCTCAGAGTGATTTTAACTGTGGGGAAAGAGGTGTGCCCAGTGTCTGAAGACACTAACCCCAGTGAAGGTGCTGGGGGTCCCTTGGTGACAAGCTCCTAGTGTGGACCATCATCCAGGCTTGGTCCTGGCTGGTCCCTGATGCCAGGAGGTTGGGAAGAGGGAACAACCCAGGAGCACCAATAGAGGAGATAAATTATACAATATTCTTCTGCAATCTCTGAACTGACTGACAGCAGAAACCTCCTTTTCCTCCTGCCTGTGTGCTCTGCGAGCCCAGCTCCATACCAGAGGTGTGAAAGGGAGAGGGAAGTGGGTATGTGTCAGGACTGCAGCATCTGCCCCTGCAGCATCTGGCCCTGCAGAGCCTGGCAGTGCAGCCGCCCTGCGCCTCCCCACGCCATGCCTCAGTGGGACGCACAGCACAGCTTTCAGGGGAGGAGGTGACAGCTTCCTCGCTGACCTTGCAGCACTTGAGCCCTTTCACCACGTTGCCCCAGGGCTTCCATGGCACCTGCAGCCAGAGCCGGGAGCGGGAGGCTGGGAACTGTGGGGGATTCAGTGCTGAAGGCACTGACTGAGGGGACCAGGAGTCAAGACCTTGTCCTGGTGTCGCAACCGAACCCTTGCACCTGCGCTTGCCTTGTGCAGACAGACCTTGCCTCCTGGGGAAGGGGAAGCTGCTTTTTACAACCTGTTCTTGGGCAATTTTGCTGGGAAAGAGGTGTTTGTGATGATGATTCGCCCAGGATCTGGAAGAGAGCAGACCTCTGGACTCCTTCAGCTGAGCAGCAACCAGCAAGATGCGTGTGTGCATCACCCTGTGCAAGGAGAACGGGGATGGAGAAGGGGCAGACAAAGGAGGAAACATTATTCCCAGAGCACTGACTTTTGCTCCCAAAAATGTAGCAGAGGCATTCCCTGAATGTCCAGCTCTTGCACTGGGATCAATCCGGGCCCTTGTATCACACGTAAGGCAGTGCACAGATTGCTTTCCCTCTCACACTCCTTGGTCTGGGGTCGTTCTCCATGCCTATGCCAGCACAGGCAAGTGACTTTACGCCAATGGCTCCTATCAGCACTAGCCAGAAACCTCAATGTGACTTTTCTCTTCCCAACACAGCTATCACCAGCGCAGGGGTGGAAGATAAGAGCTTTAGTAAGTGCATATGCAACATGAACACTGGAAAAAAGGTCCACGCCTGGCATGCACGGGCTGGTTTGAGACTGGTGAGGCAGGGATCAGCCAGGTAGGAGCTGATGGGACTCAGCTGATGACCTACTGGGACAATATCTTTCACCCACGTCATATTCTTGTTGCTCAGCAGTTCTGCCTTCATTTGCTGCTCGCTCCAATGTCCTCAGTGTGCCACAGTTTCTCAGGGCATTTATCAGTGAGGCCAAACTTCACATTTCTCAGCATCACCCACAGTGGGAATAGGCGGCCTGAAAAGCTTGGAAGAGGAGCTCTGCACTTGGAGCTCTTCCCCCAGACCTTGTCCTTCTATTTCCACACCATTCTGGAACAGAACTATGAAAACCCTGGTCCCTGGCACTCTGCTTCTCTCTGCGGCCCATCGCGCTGCTCCTGTGTCTGCCCCAGCCCTGCAGCCTGCAGTGTCCTTGTCCCATCACCACCAGCACAGCTGGCTTGGCCTTTTGTTCAAGGAGCAGTCCCCCAGCTCGTTCCCTTTAGTTCTGAAATCTCAAAGGTTTAACCTGCTGTTTGATCTGGGGCAAGGCCAGCGATAAGCCAAGTCAAGAACTTGACTCTGTCCGAGATGCTGACATCATTAGCCTGTTTGTTTAAGATGGAATTTAATCATGGGGATATTTTCCCCTTGATACTTGCCTTGTTTATTATTTTCCCTGATTGCCAGCACTTTCGCTCAGCAGGGGAAATCCATTAAGGAGCTGGGATATAATTGCCTGCTTCAGGCTGTCTGCTGGCAGGCAAGTGATGGAGCCCAGAAGGAATGAA